AAAAGGCGCGGGGGGGGGGGGGGGGGGCTTTAGAATTTTCATAATGTGGTGAAACACAAATATAAAACCTCTATCGAGCCAGGATTTTGATCGCATGGGTTTATATCGCATCATACAGATCTGTGTTCAATAACATACCCACAATGGATATTCAAATTTAAGTGAATTAAAATTAAATAAAACTTCATTTTCTCAATCTTAATAACTACAGAGAAAGTGTGGGTAGTAGTCACCACACTCATATAGCACATTTCAAACATTATAGAAAATCTTATTGGGTAGCGTTCCTCTAAATTATTTCCCTAGCTGGGTGTGATGGTGCACACCTGTAATCCCAGCCCTCATGAGGCTGAGGCAGGACTACTGTGAGTTCGAGGCCAGTCTGGGCTCCACAGTGAGCTGAAGACCAGCCTGCACTACAGAGTGAGACCTTGTTAAAAAAAAAAAAAAATTATTTCCCTCATCCATACCCACATCAGACATCACACTTATATTCCACTTAGTCCTCAGTGGGCATTAAAGGCATAGCTAGTGTTTAAGGATTTGCCTAGTAACGCATCTTTTTGTCCTCAATGTGCCACATATTAAAAAGAACTCAATGAATGGAGCCAGGCCAGGCGGCACGTACCTGTGATCCCAGCACTCAGAAGGCTGCAAGTCTGAGGGCAGCCTGGGCTACATCGTAAATTGGAGTCCAGACAGCCTGCCTGGACTACACAACAAAGCCCAATCTCAAGAAAACCATTAAAAAAAAGAGATAGTGCTCAGTAAATGTCTGCTGAACTGCCATGGGCCTCAGAGCCCACTCCAGAGACATACAGGTACCGGGCTGAGTCAGCTCAATTCTGCTACTTAGCACAACAAAATAAAGGCATAAAACAGGCAAAATTTATCTAGGTCAGAATCGGGAATCCAAGAAATGTTCATGCCTTGTATTGGACAAGATACAGATGTTTAAACAGTGTCCTCTGGGAAGCCTAAGCCTCTACAAATTAGTCCAGAACTGGGGGGCTAGAGAGGGGGTGTTTGAAGACAATGACAAGAAGAACAAAACAAAAAAATAAAGAAAGAAAAGAAATCAATGTGCTGCCTATCTGTGTATTACCAGACTTGGACATGACCTTCACTTCATGAATATCCAGCAATAGAGGAAAAACAAAGTTTTCAAGAAACCTGATTCCCTGTGGCAAAGGAAGAATGGCCTTAAGGCCTAGTTACACGCTTATATCTAACAGTGAAACCCAAGCACTCTCTCTACCTCAGAGAAACAGCAACATTGGATTTGTTTGTGAAGAACATTCTCATTCAGGAATGGGGAAGAAGCTCAGTGGAAGAGCATATGCCTAGCACACAGATGCTGGGTTTGCTGCCAAGCACTAGAAAGAAAAAAGGCGGGGAGGGGAGAGACAACAGCCAAGTGAAGTTGCACAGGCCTGTAATCCTAATGCTCAGGAACCTGAGGGAGGAGGATTCTGAGTTTGAAGTCAGGCTGAGCCACACAGTGGGTTTAGGGAGGGCCAGCCTGGACTGTACAAAGTGATCTTATCTCTAAAAAAAATCATATCTCAAAAAACAGAAACAAAGAACATTCCCATTTAAACACATATGCCAAAAGAAAACTTCGCCCTTTGTAAAATAAATTCTAAACTCTAAGCTCTATGACGACTAATGTCTAAATGCTTAGATATAAAGAAATAGGATATTGTTTGGAGAATAGTATCGAGGGGACCCATGCCCCGACTGAGCTCTCAAAGTAAGATGAGAAGTTTCCATGCAGACTCACCTTTTTATATGTTGTCTCTCCTGAAGAATCAACACTTCGGTGGCCTATTTTCTTGATGGTCATGCCAGTGGCACAAGGCACCTAGAAGAGAAGAGTCCAGATCAATCTATGATTCCCATGTAATACAACAGTTATAGTGTAGTGGTGATACATCAAAAAAGCCACAGGGCTGGGGATGTAGCTCAGTGGTGCCATTGCCTGCTTTGCAAGCTCAAGGTCCTGAGTTCAATCCCCAGTACCAACAAAACAAAACAAAACACAAAAAAGCCACAATGTTAATTGTGGGGTTGAAGTAAGAGGTCTGAAAATTTGAAGCCAGCTCAGGCAGCTTAGAGATCCTGCCTCAAAATAAAAACAAAAACTGGGGCTGGGTATTTGGCTCAGTGGCACCACCTGCCTGCCTGGCAAGTGCAAGGTCCTGAGTTCAATTCCAGGTGGGGGCAAAAAACTGGGCTACGGATATAGCTCAGTGCAAAAGTCCTGGTTAGGGAAAGCAAGGCAAAGCAAAGCACAGAACTCAACACATCCTTTCTGGATTAAGAACCTTTTATAAAATCTTCAGAAGGCCCACTTCACACTAAAGCAAAAATATTGTTTATTGCATTTATTTATTTTGGGTTTTGTTTTGTTTTTTTTTTTTTGAGGCAGGGTCTCACTACGCAGTTGAGACTGACCTGGAACTCACTATGCAGTCTGGGCTAGTCTCGAACTCAGTGATCCGCCTGCCTCAGCCTCTGAGTGCTGGGATAACAGGCGTGCACCACCACGCCCGGCCTGTTTATTGCATTTATTGAGACAGGGTTTTACTCCGCTGTCTAGGTGAGCCTCAAACTCCTGCCTCAGTCAGCTGGGTAGCCGGGAATATATGCACTCACCACCACCCCTGCCTCTTTTTGCTACCAGCTTCCTTTCAGAAATAACTGCAATCCCCTATCCCCTATCCAATCTCAATACTATGTGCTCAAATTGAATCCACCGGTGGAAACAATCCGGCCCCGGACAGAAAGAGTAATTCTCCAAACCAGCGGTGGCAAACCTATGGCAGCACAGCAGGCAAAGGGTGTGAGTTTTTTTCAAAACTAAAACCTCAGTATTCATGCTTAACTGCAGTGCTGGTACTTTGCAATACATTATTGGGATTTGGGTTGCAGTCTCGGCACTCGTCTCTAAAAGGTCGGCACCACTGCTCCAGACCTAGAATTAAAGGCTGAGGCAATAAAGTGACTTCTGATGCATTCCTGAAGGTTCCTGAGAACAAGATATAGTTCTGTTTCCTACTCACATTTAACAGCACCTAAAATAAGAGAGACGAAATCAGCAGAAAAGGGTGTACAGGTCCAAGAGGGAAGAAGCCAGCTCAACAGAAAAAATACTTTTCTTTTTTTTCTAAAAGACAAATGTCTTGCTATGTAGAGTCTCAAACTCATAATCCTCCTGCTTCAGCCTCCCAAGTACTGGAATAACAAGTGTGCACCACCACACCCAGCATCAAATATGCTTCAAGTGATACTGACTCGGTTACTAAGCCAAAAGGCACACACACGCTAGTGGAAGCGAGATGTCACAATTCTAAAACTTGATATTCAAGACCTACTGCTTGCCAAGGCCTTTAGTACCAGACAACCCGTAATATATTGCCTGACAGATCTCAGAACATATTTTGAAGGAAAAGTCTGAAGTCCTAGGTCAGTGGCCAGGGATTAGCTCAGTGGTTCCGCTGGACCCGAGTTCGATCCCCAGTACCAAAATTAAATAATTAATTGAAAAATTAAAGTCCTAGGTCAAAGAGTAGCACTCTGAGGCCTCTAACACAAAATGGAAGATGCAGCCAAGAAGCGCAAAGGTTGGGAAATACTCCATGGGGAGAAAGTTAAGCAAACTGAAGATACTCACATGGAAAAAAGAAACTTGGGAAATAGGTTCCCTGTATTAAAAAAAAAGTTCTTATATATTGAAAGTCTGCAAGCAGGAGAAAGTTAACAGCAAAATAAAAAGGAAAACTTTAGTATCAGACTGTCTGGATTGAATCCCAGTTTTACTAATCCCACTAATCGTGTAACCTTAGGCAAGTTACAGAATCTCTACTCCTCACCTTCCTTATCTTGTAACACAGGGATAACAATGATACTTATCTTCTTGGAGCTATCTGCAAGGTTAAAACAAGAACACTGTATCTGCCCTGCCTGGTAGGCTTGGTAGTGCATGCCTGTAATCCCTGCACTAGGGGAGGCTGAGACAGGAGGATCACTGGAGTTCAAGGCCAGCCTGGTTACATAGTAAGACCCTGTCTCAAAAAAATAAAAAAACAATCAATCGATAAATATCAGTACTGTATCTGAGCCAGGTCTGGTGGCACATACCTGTAACCAAAGCACTCTCAGAAAATGAGGCAAGGGGGTGCCCACACTGGGCAACTTAGCAACTTGGGGAGACCCTGACTCAAAATAAAAAAGGACTGAAGATATAGCTCCATGCAGAGGCCCTGGGGTTCAACCCCGAGTACTACCACAAAACAAAACAAAAACAACAGGTCAATGGCCAGGCAAGGTGGCGGACGTCTAATCCCAGCTACTTGGGAAAACTGAAGCAGGAAATCAAGAATTCAGGGTCAGCCTCGGCAATTTAGCAAGACCCTATCTCAAACAATAAGAAGTACCGGGTTTGCAGATCAGTGGTACAGTGGTTCAATCCCCAGTACCAGAAGGAACGGAAGGAGAAAAGGAAGTGCCAGGGAAGAAATGGGAGAGGGAAGGCAGGCAGGCAGGCTCGCCAAATGTGAGATATTGCTAGTAAAATACAATAAAAGCAGAGTTTTATAATATCTGGCCTATGAGATAGAAATAAAAACCCTGTCAGCTAAAGTTGTAGCTCAGTGGTAGAACTCTTGCCTACTATGGGCAAGGCCATGGCTACAACCCCAAGCACTGCAAAAGGGGGGAAAAAAAGAGCCCTGTCCAGCTTTCAAGACCTAAGCATAGAGAAAGATTTCAGATTATTGAAGATTTCAGCTGCACATGGTGGCACACTCCTATAATCCTAGCACTTGGGAGGCTGAGGCAGGAGGATTGCTGTGGGTTCAAGACCAGCCTGGGCTACATAGTGAGTTCCAGGTCAATCTCAACTACATAGTGAGACCCTGCCTCAAAAAAAGCAACCGCCCCCCCAAAAAAAAGATTTCAGAGATATTCTGCTATCCCTGGACTAAAGTTGTAGTATCATTATGAAACTCACCTCAGATGCCACAGATCTCTTGATTCCAGATGCTGCTGCTAAAATTGAAAAAAAAAAAAAAATCACTTAAATATAACACTCACCCATATAATCTCCATCCAACACAATGAAGCCGGGTGTGGCGGCACATGTCCATAGTCTGAGCACTGAGATTGAAGCAGGGTATGGAGTATGGAGCTCAAGACCAGCCTGAACTGCAGTGAGAACAAGCTCCTGCCTCTTCTCACTGACACCAGACCCCTTTGGATCGTGCTCTTTCAACATCCCTTCCTCCTTCTCCTCCATACTCAGAGGCCTGACCCATACTGATTCTTGTTACACCTTCTTTGTTACTCAAGATGTTCACATTTTCTATGGGAAAGATAACTGTTCTTAACATTTAGCCATTAAAAGGTCCCACTAATACCACAGTCAAAAGAGAAAGGTAGTAAGAGATACCCAAGACCCACCACTGGAAACCCTGAGGCTTGACAATATTTTTAAAAGCTAAAAGAGTAAGAATTTTTAGACTGTGGTAATTCAGAAGATAAAGACCTGACCTGTGAAAATAAAGAATCTAAACATGAGAAACAATGTTTAAAGAAAAAAAAAGCACTCATAGCAAGCAGAAAATAATTTTGCCCCTACATCTTCTACATGATTTCTTCTATAAACAGTACGGATCTGTTAGTATTTAAAACTCATTTATTAGGAACTGGGGCTAGGCATGGTGGTACACAGCAAGATCCTGCCTCAGAATAATTAAAATAAAATTCAAAGGTGATAAACATTAACCACATTAAAAATAAAAATAATAATAATAAAGGACCAGGGATGTAGTTCAGTGGCCTGGCAAGGCATGGTCCTGAGTTCAAAAAAAAAAAATTAAAAGGTCACCAGAATGAACTAGACCTTTCCTTCAGCATATTGTAGATAGTTTTCATTACTCTTCTCAAAAGGCAAGAGAACCATCATCTAGCTATCCAAAAGATATCTCATGTAGCTGTCAGAAAATTTAAAAACAGACCAATTTTTACTGCTGCGTCTCTCCTACACAGCCCAATAATCTAACACCTCTTCTAGAAGAATTCATCTTTTAATCAGGTTGAGTTCAGCTGAGTTAGGAATGAAATTCTAAGCTACAGCTTCCAAGGAACAATAATCCAGGACATTTATGATCGAAACTGCTGATGACTTACAAATGAATTTAAAGCACCTATTATCAAAAAGTAAAACCTTTTATATCTGCATGCACAGTTTTTTTTTTTCCTCCCCTTTTTGGTACCGAGGGTCAAACTCAGGACCTTGAACTTGGCAAGGCAGGTGCAGTGCCACTGAGCTAAATCCCCAGCCCCAAGCCTTTTCCATATCGTATAACCTTTCAAATGAGAGTCAAAATGCCAACCTACTGAAAAAGAAAGAAAAAAAAAACAAAACAGAAGATAATTCTGGCAAGCTCGCAGATATCCATAATCCCAGCACTCAAGAGGCTAAGGCAGGATTCATGAGTGCAAAGTTGACCTAACTATATAGCAAGACCATACCTCAAAAAATAAAAAATCAGAAAAAAAAATAATTAAAAACAGAAGACCTGGATGGCAAATCATTCTTTGTATTTTACTAAAAAGAAGGAAAATTATTTTAGAAGGTTTATGTAAAGATTAGGCCAGGCATGATGGTGCACGCCTATAAGCCCAGCACTGGGGAGGCTGAGACAGGAGGATTGCTCTGAGTTCAAAGCCAGCCTGGGCTATATAGTGAGAGCCTATCTCAAAAACCTAAAAACAAAACAAAACAAAAAGATCAAATGAGACATACCTGGCGGAAAAGACAAGCACCTACAATCTCAGCTACTGGCAAGGATGAGCCCAGGAGGTCAAGGTTAACCTGGGCAACATAAGGAGACCCTGAGACCCCAAAATAAAAAGCTCCATTCATCTCAGACTACAGTTTTCTTTTTGGTGTATCACTCACTCTGATTGAAAGTACAGTATAAAGCTTGTCATTAATGCATTCCCAGTGGACTTTAAAAAAAAAAAAAAAGAGCACTTGACAAACAAGCTTGCTTTGTGTGAGCCTCTTGGAATTGACAACAGAATTATTTAACACTCCTTGGCAAAAGTACACATTAACTTCTAAAACAGTTCTGGGAAAATGATCCTAACTACATGCTAGGCACCGAGGAGCTCAGACTTCTGTTGCTTTTTTCGGAAAGCCAAGGTCAGAAAGAGAAGTTAGTTCTCTTCTGTACTACTCTCCTTCACCACAGACGTCTGGTTTAGACAGAACCCATTCAGCAACAAACATTTAATCTCTTTTAAAGGCAAGTTAGTAATCAGGGAAATAGCTCAAAAGCAAGAGCGTACCACCCTGCATGCAAAAAAAAAAAAAAGCAGTATGATGTCAAGTTAGTTCACACACAGGTTTCAGATAAGAATGGGGAGGGCTGAGGACATGGCCAAGGGGGACAATGCTTGCGTACGGTGTGCAAGGTCTGGCCCCGATCTCTACAGAAATAAAACAGCTTAGCAGAGAACAACAAATAGCGTAAAGGGTAGCAATGCGGGCTGTGTGATCCGAACACCAGCCTTGCTGGGTCTGAATCTAACTAGGAAGCCCTGGACAGATAGGTTAAAACATCCCTAGGCCTCATTTACTGTATCTCTAAAATGCAGAAATGCCTGAAAGCCCTGGGTTCGGGTGGGGGCAGGAGGTTGAAGACTAAATGAGAGTAAGCTACAGATTTAACATAGAGTAAACACTATAAATACTACCAACTGGTACCATCACTGTGAATCATGAAACCCCATCGACAGGATGCCAATGACGTGCAACACAAAGGGAAAGGAAGAAAGCAGAGACTTGTTTACTGAAATGAAAAAACTGTGGGAAAAGTTAGTTTTCTATTGCTGGTGTTGCTGTTTTGTTTTTGTGGTACTGGAGATGGAACCCAAGGTCTTCAGCACTGAGCTACATTCTCTGCCCAATTTTGAGACAGGATCTCACTGAATTTGCCCAGGCTGTGCCCAAACTTGTGATTCTCCTGTCTCCGCCTCCCAGAATGCTGAGATTATATGCATGCACCACCACACCTGGCTGAGAAAAAGAGATCCATGCTAAGACAGCATCCTAGTTGGATATGTCAGCTACAGTCAAATGATGCTTACAAAGCAAATTTGTTGTTGTTGTTGTTGCTTTTTTTTTGGTACCGAGGATCAAACTCGGGTCCTTGAGCTTGCAAGGCAAGCAGCGGAACCACTGAGCTAAATCCACGGTCCAACAAAGTAAGTATTTACTATCTTTTTCTATTTATTTTATATCTGACAATTTTGTACTTTAATAAACTGTTCTAAACATTGCAAAAAAGAAAACAAAAAGAAATGCTTGCAAGAAATCAAAAGCCTTCTCAAAGGAAGTCCACGCACTAGCACTAGAAAAAGTGTGCAGCTGTTAATGGGGAAGAGCAGCGGGCTGCAAGTCACTGCAAGGAGCTCAATCTTCTTCAGCAGATACACATCAGATCTACCTCTCTTAGGGTTCACCCCACAGCACAGAAAGTTGAAACCTAATGAGGAAAAACAGAAAATTATCACTTACTTCTGGGATTCTATCTGCTTACAGCAGAATAAGTGTATTTTTTAAAAAAGCTAAAGCTTAAAGTTATGAACAGGATGTAACTCTAACAGCAGTACCACACTGTGAACTGTGAAATTATTTGAGATTCAAGGTAAATGCCCCCCAAAAGACAGAAATAACAGCTTTGACACAAAAATTTCAGAAGTAGACACAAAATCTGTACCCTAAATCATTTCACTTTTCTTGAGGGGGGTACCAGGGATTTAACTCAAGACCTTGCACTTGCAAGGCAGGCAGTGGAACCACTGAGCTAAATCCCTAGCCCCTCACTTTTTTTTTTCTTTTTCTTTTTTTTTTGAGACCACGTAGTACAAAGCTGCCTTAACTCACCATGTAGTCTGCTCTGTCCTCAAACTCACCATCATCCTGCTTTACCCTCCAGACTGCTAGGGTCACAGGCATGGGCTACCATGGCTGGTTTTCTTTTTTTTTAAGACAGGTCTTGCTAGATCCCAAACTGGCCTTGAACTCACAGCATTCCTCTTGCCTCAGCCTCCCAAGTGGTACGATTATAGGTGTGCATTACCATACTAGGCTTTTTTTTTTTGAGACTAGGTCTCACTGTGTAGTTCAGGCTGCCTCGAACTCGAGGTGATTCTCCTGCCTCAGCCTGGGGAGTGCTAGGATTACAGAGGTACATCATCTCACCACAATCACTCTTGAATGAATTCATACTGGCAAATTTTGCCAGGTGTAGTGGTACAGCACCCCTGTAGTCCCAGCACTCTGGAGGCTGAGGCAGGAGGATCGCCACAACACACACAGTGAGAATCTATCTCAAAAAAAGGCAAACTTTTCTGCTTTAAGGTTTCTCTGCATGCAGGCTTCTATCTAGACATGTATAATCAAGAGTGTTTACTGCAGCATTGTATATAACTATAAACATGTGCTATGACTGCCAAGAACCTAAGAGGTTGTTGGTGATACAAATCACAATAAAACTTAAATGGAATACTCTATAGCCATTACTTTTAATGTGTACTCATGCATATTACAATAAATTATTGATAAGAAAAAGCTTTAAATACACACACACACACACACACACATATTCTCCCCTGGTGCTGGGAATCAAGACGTAGGCAGACACTCTACCACTGAGTCACGTCCCCAGACCTGATAAAACACTTAATCTATGATTTCGTGTGTAATATTTATGTAAACCGAAAAGGCAAAAAAGTTACATATCAAAATATGACCATCTCTGGGCTGGGGATTTAGCTTAGTGGTTCTGCTGCCTGCCTTGTAAGTGCCTGTACAGCCCAAAACAAACCATTATCTGTATTAGCACATTTCAGAGGTTCTTTCTGTTTCAGCCACTTGCAAGCTGAGAAGCAGCTTAAATTCCAAGATCAGCCTGGGAAACTTAGTGAGACCCTGTCTCAAAATAAAAAGGAGGTGGGGCCGCACCTCAACAACACAGCA